ACAGGCATGAGTGGTCTTGCTGTTTTCCTTAGCATCATTAACTCCCCTGGAGACAGGATTTGGAGTAGGTTTCATTTGTGTTTTCTCTTCTGGGCATAGACCTATCCCGGAGAGAAATTTACGGCAACCTAATTTCCCAGAAGGTGCTCTGTTTTCAATCAGAAAAGGGAAGCTCTGAGAAGGTTATTCCATGCCCCCCCCCCTTTTTTTTGCATCTGTTGAATCTCAAGTCTTCAGCTTAAAAATAATCTTTATGCCAAAGTGGCATGTTTTGGGGTGGTGTGTTCTGAATCCCTTCATCTGGAAGGCACAGTGTTTCCCCTATATTCATTCCTTTCAGGGTCTTACTCTCAGTATAAGATCCACACCTTTGCCCTGAGTTCCATGACTGGATTAGAATGTGATGGAGACCAGCCAGAAACTCAGAAAGAACTGTTAAGAGAGTAGACAATTTGGTATGATGTTGCTCCATGATCTGGGGGGATGACCTTTTTTGGGAATTATCAGTGCTTCAAAAAGCAAAGTTCCTTGATTCACTTCCAAGGTTCTGGAGTCTGGGACGTCTGTAGAAAACCTCTTAGCAGTTCTCCAATGAACCCTCCATGGGAAACAGGACTTGACTTTTAAAGATGGCTCTACTCCAGAGGACTTCACCCTCAGGACTTTGTTTTTTTTTTTACTTTCACAAGAGAAACCTGTTCTTGTGGACGTGGAGGAACCTGGCTGGGAGCAGGAACCGGCTTTGCCAGCCCCAGGTCTGTGCCGGAGCCCAGGGAGCAAAGTTGGCTGGCGGCCGGCCGTGTCCGCCTCCATATCTGTGTCCACGACCATGGGCTGGAAGGGGCTGCTGTCCTCCCACCGGGGCAGGAGGGCTCGGGCCTGGCTCAGCTGGATGTGAGAAAGCTCGTGGGCGGGAACCGGGGGTGGGGGCCAGGTGGAAGGGCAGCCATGGCCCTGAGGCGGGGCATTGTCCGTCTGACCGGCCCTGGGGCTGGCTGATGATTAACCGAGAGTCTGCTGCTCTGGGCCCGAGGCGGAAGGCCACCTCTGTGTGCACGCGCGGCCTGAGAGGTGATCCACTTCCTGGTAACAGCTGAGCACCCTACAGCTTCTCCAGTGGCCGACAGATTGGTTCCTGCGTTTGTGTGGGGAGAGCTCGGAGGCAGGGAAGAGGGGACCCAGAACCTTCGCTGAAGGCCCGAGAGGCAGATTCACCTGCCACAGGTGAGACACCCCGTGGGTCTGGTGTGTGGCCAGTGGACTCCCCGCAGGTTCCGGCTTCCCCCCGGGGAAATGGTGCTTAGCTCCTGGAGGCCCGCTCGCTGGTCTTGGGGGAAAGAGCAATCTGAGGCATATCTGTTTCCCAAATTCCACACAGTTAAAATGAAAACACTGGGCTGCCCTGTGAGTGTAGGAATTTGAGACAGTTTCTCAATTCTAGCTTCACTGGGAGCTGTTCTTGGGATGCGTTGAAAGCTGAGACTAACAGCTTGTTATTCATCGGACAGACTTTAAATGATGTTTATTCTTTCCCAAGGCTTCCCCAGTGGCTCAGCAGTAAAGAATTCTTCTGCAATGCAGGAGATGCAGGAGACTCAGGCTTGATCCGTGGGTTGGGAAGATTCCCTAGAGGAGGAAATGGCAATCCACTCCATATTCTTGCCTGGAGAATACCACAGATAGAGGAACCTGGCGGGCTACAGTCCATGGGGCTGCAAAGATTTGGACTCGATTGAGCGACTGAGTTCACACATATATATTTCCCCAATGAGAGGTTTGAAGGAAGGGAAATTGCTCTAAATCTCTGGAAGTTCTAAGACTCCCCACATCTGGCTGGCAGAGTCAATGACCCTCTGAATGTGGGGGCGTCCTGAGCTGGGGTACTGGGTGGAGGAGGTGCCTGGGGGTGCCTTTGTCTGTGCACATAGAGGTTTGCAGACAGCCCCTTGTGTGAGAATTTAAATTCTCACTGTCTTCCTTGTTTTGGGGTTTAGAATTTATGCTGATGCCTAAAGACAGATTGTCTGCAGCCCCTGAATTTTGTGATATCAGGCTGTTTCCAAGAACCCAGCCATAACGGGGTGTGTGTGTGTGTGTGTGTGTGTGTGTGTGTGTGTGATGGGTAAATAAACCAGATGATCGAATTCAACAATTTCCTTCCTGAGATGATGAGCTTGCTGGGGGCAGACAGGTCTGCTCAGTGATTCTGCCTTGTCTGGGCAGTAATGAGTGGTTGGCATTTAAATCCTGTCCTGGTGCAATTTAATAAGATTTAAGGCTTTTAACATTGCAGTTCTTCAACTAAAATTGTGTAACGCAAGTCTTCTGTAATAAAATGAATGAGAAGTGAGATCTCAAACTACTCCACCAAGATATGAACTTGCAAATTGCCTGGCAGAGATTTCTTTTAATTAAAGGGACTTGTCTGAGCTCAGTTACAACTTGAAATCAACCTGATCACAGTTTCTGTCTATACACACCCTTCAGATAGGGTCTGCTCACAAATCCACATCTGGGTTCCTGTAGCACTTGGGGTGTTTCTAAACCCCAGCCTGGGGGCTCCTGTTGAGCTTTTAGGAATGGACTCATTCTGTCACACAGAGAATAAATGAACTGTCATCTGGCTCTAGTTAGCAGCCCGAGTGACCCTGACCATCAGCGACTAGAAATACTTCATGGTGGACCTTAAGCTCTTGCTGCAGTTTCAGTGATGCTGGGTCCACACTTCACATTTATTGCTTTTGGTAAAATGTGTGACTTTTATAAACTCAGCAGCTCAATTTCTCCTCCATCCTCTGCTCTGGCCTAGGTTCTAGGTGACTCGCCCAGCAACTGACTTGTCTCATTGTGTTCATCGAACCTTGAAAAAATTAGTAAATGATTTATTTGGTGCTTGGTAATTTGGGATCTCGGATCAGTCTGGGAAGCCCGTGATTTTAGTTTGTGTTCAGCTGCTGAACAACTTGGTGAAAGTGAAAGTGTTAGCTGTTCAGTCGTGTCTGACTCTGTGACCACCAGGGACTGTAGCCTGCCAGGCGTCTCTGTCCACGGAATTCCCCAGGCAAGAACGCTAGAGAGGGCAGCCATGCCCTTCTCCAGGGAAGCTTGGAATCGAAGCATGTTTGCAGGGATTTGCAGAGCCTATTTTCGATGATGGAAGAGGCTGAGGTGGGATGGTCCTGCCCCACAGGTACCATGACCCCTTACATGACACAATTGCACACGGGTGGATGTGGTTTCTTACACAGGCAGAAATTCACTTTCCAAAGTCATCAGAAAACAGAGGTGGAAATCCCACATTCCTTCTCGTGATTTCGTGAGCAGCCAGTGACATGCTACCATGTCAAAAGGGGGTCGTGGACCTGGGGGTCCTCAAGCCTTCCCACCCCAACTCTGTTTGATTCAGCAGCTTATATGCAGTGCCTTTCGCAGCTAGAGGTGATGCGGTTATTACCTGTGTTTATTTCAGTTCTCAAATTTCTGCTTGTGGGTTGTTGTGGGGCCTGCCTCCTACGTCCTGTAAGAGAAGATAGGATGGAGCCCAGGGTGGGTGGGTCAGCTCATCACAGGACCCTGTGCAGGGTCTCTGATGGAACCCGTTGCCTCCCAGTTTGGGGGGATGGGTTGTATCCCTCAAGTGGAGGTTTGAAATCTGTGTGGATGTCAGAGTGAAAACTCCTGGCAGGTCAGGTCACTGTGCTAAGGATGGGTGAAATAAAGAGCCCCTTTCCTGGGGCTGAGGAGCTGGTGTTTCTAGAGACAATTCAGAACACATTCAGTGGATGACTTAAGAGCTCCAAGCAGTGCTGGTGACAGTCTTGGACAGGCCTGGCCCAGGGAGAAGGAAAAAATAAAACTAAAAATGAGGGGATAGGGAGAGAGCAAGAGAAAAAGGATGGGCCGAGATAAGTGCATGACAAGATCACCCTGTGCTGCAAGGGGCCAGCAAGGCCTCACTTGGTCTACACTGACCACTCCCCTTCCACTCACCTTCGCTCTCTGCCCAGGCCCCAGAGTCTCTCTGTGGTTCCGCAAATGAACACGGAGACACAGTCCCACCCCAGGGCCTTTGCACCTGCTGTTCAGCCTGGGAGGCCCTTCTGCACTTACCCACCTGTCTGTCACTTCACTGCCTTCCTGACTCATGGGACACCATCTTGGGAGCCTTTCTCCAATCTCTCCTTTGAAACATCAGCCAGCACATCCCACACACCCCCTCACACACACTCCTCTCGACTGTCTTCATACCTCTTATCACCTTCTCATAAGCTTATGATCTAGGTCTTCATTTTGCTCTTTTTCTTCTTATAATGTAAACTTATGGGTAGGATTGTTTTTTCTCAGTGATTAAGCATCATAATGGAAGGGAATAACAGTAAACCCACACTCAGACCTCACAGCCAGTGATTCTGTGATTCATAGTAGAGCATAGCAGGTGTTTCCATGATTTCTGCATGGGCTTGGGAGCTAGATCACTTAATACAGTGATTCTCAGACATTGAATATATACCAGAATTGGTCCCATGCTTAACATTGGGCAGAATTCTTCCTGCTCACCCCCTAGACCTAACCCAGTAAGTCCAGGGTAGGCCTGAGAATCTGCATTTCTAAGAAGTTCCTTGGTGGCTCAGCAGTAAAGAATCCGCCTGCAATGCAGGAGACCCCTGCGAGGCAGGAGATGTGGGTTTGATCCCTGGGCCAGGAAAATCCCCAGGAGAAGGAAATGGCAACCCACCCCAGTATTCTTGCCTGGAGAGGAATGTGGAGGGTTACAGCCCATGGGGTAGCAAAGTCTCGGACATGACTGAATAACTAAACCACCACCACCAGGTAATCAAACCACCGACAAGTTCCTGGGTGAGGCTGGTGCCGCTGCTGGTCAGGCTGAGAAGTGCTGATTCATCTCTCCAGGGACACGCAGAGGGTCTCTATGGGTCTCTGCAAGGAGACAGACTGTGACCTGCCTATTTTGCTTTCTCAGGTGAGGAGGAACATGTGAGATGGAGGGAGCTGCCGAGAGAGGCGTCCTGGCTGTGCTGGTGGTGGTCCTGGCTGGGCTGGCAGGTAGGGACCACGGGGCTTGGTGGGATGTTCTGGGGCATCCTCCTGGGGTGGGCGGAAGGCCCCTGGAGGAGGCCACCGGGGAGCGTGGCTGCCTGAAGATTCTTTGTTGAGCTCTTTCCACTGGGTCCCCTCCCCCCCTTCACTTCCTCCTGCCTGTGCCCGTGTGTGCTCAGTTGTGTCCAAGTCTTTGTGACCCCACGGACTGTAGCTCGCCAGGCTCCTCTGTCCATGGAATTCTCCAGGCAAGAATACTGGAGGGGTTGCCATGCCCTCCGCCAGGGCATCTTCCTGACCCAAGGATTGAACCTGGTCCCCTGCATTGCAGGCAGATTCTTTACCACTCAGCGGAATCCATTGCCTGCCATGTCAACCCTACTCCAGAAGGGTCCTTCATGTGCACGTGAGCCCACAAGCCTTCCACATCTGGGTCCTCGCCTTGGGAGTCTTGCTGTGGTCCCTTCCCAAAGTCACTGCTCTTGTTAAAGCATCCCATTCTCCTGCCTGAACTTTTTCCTCCTCTGATTCTATCTGGTCTTCAAGGAAGACCTGACTCAGGCATCACCTCCTCTCTGAAGCCGTCTTGCCCTTGCAGTTTTCAGGGCAATTATCCTAGTTTCCATTAATGGCAGAGTAACAGGCCTGTTGCCTGTGAGACCTTCTGGTCCTCCTAACAGCTCCTTCTCAGCCTGGAACTTTCCCAGGGTGTCAGTCAGAATGGACTCCAGGTGTCCCAGACAAGGGTCTCCTGGTCAGATTCTGCACTGTAGTAGATGGAGAATGCAGACCCCGGGGTGCTTAAAGTAACGTTTGTACCCCAGCTTTCTTTTGACTATGCCTTGTGCTGATTTCATCTCTTCTGGTGTGTTTTTCTTGTTTTCCTAGCTAGTTCTAAACTCCTCAGGGTATTCTTACTGCAGTGATCTTAAGGTGCTGTATTGAAGAATACAGAAAATTGTGCAAGTCGTAAAAGTACAGCTTGATGAAATTTTACAAACTGAGCACTTTTGTGTATCAACAAGGAGCCCAAGAACACTTCACAAATGCTTCCTTCAGCCTCTCCCCCACCCCTTCCTAGAGTGACTGTTATCCTGACTTCTAGCTGTGTAGATATTTTGCTTGCTTTGTGCCATACACACCTGTGGGCTTCTCTGGTGGCTCAGGCTATAAAGAATCTGCCCGAAATATGGGAGACCCATGTTTTATCCCTGGGTTGGGAAGACCCCCTGGAGGAGGAAATGGCTACCCAATCCAGTATTCTTGCCTGGGGAATCCCATGGACAGAGGCACCTGGGATGCTACAGTCCATGGGGTTGCAAAGAATCAGACATGACTGAGTGACTAATGCTTTGACTTTGATATATACCTATAAGCTCTGTTTCAGAGGGCTAGATAATGTTGTTGTTGTGTTTTAAACTCTATCCATGACAGCAGTGAAAACACAACTAAAACAGAAATAGAACAGTATAGGGATGGTCAGAGTGTTGTGCGGTGCAGTCAGGACTGTTTCACGAATTTTGGTTTCAGGTGTGTTTACACGTTAAGACAAGGGCAGCTGGCTCTGGGGTGTTAACATGTATTTGGGGACAGAGATGTTTGGAAGCCTCTGTCTTGTGCAGGGTGTTAAGCACTTTTTTAGGTGCTTGATGTGCATTTGTCTGTAGGCTGGAAAGAAGACATTTTCTCTGCTTGTGCAGAACTTAGGGACTCATGGGGTGCAGAGCTTAAGCACGCATGGGGTTAGCAAACCAGGCTCCACCATATTCCCAGGATATGGCTCCCACATGACTTTCTCAGTCACAGTAGCAAAAACCTCTTGCAGTGGCTTAGCAGGAAACTGTTAAACTCCATATCTACAATTCTTCTGAGCCGTTTACCCTGAAGTTCTGTTTTGAAGGCAGGATTGGCTTGGGTTGAGGCTTGGGTATGGCTATTCCAAGAGGGGAGAAGTTGTTGTTGTTCAGTCGCTAAGACGTGTCTGTTTGTGATCCCATTAACTACAGCATGCCAAGCTCCTCTGTCCTCCACTGTTTCCCACAGTTTAATTTATTCATTCATGTCTATTGAATCAGTGATGCCATCTAGCCATCTCATCCTCTGTAGCCCCTTCTCCTCTTGCATTCAGTCTTTCCCAGCACCAGGATCTTTCCCAATGAGTTGGCTATTCACATCAGACGGCCAAAGTATTGGAGCTTCAACTTCAGCATCAGTCTTCCAGTGAGGATTATGGGTTAATTCTAGAGCCCCATGGTGGGTGGGGATCCATTGCAAAATTCTGACCCCGTAGGAAGCTTGGAAAGTTTCGGGTAGAGACTCCTCCTTTTGTAGATGTAGCTTTGAGTAACTAAGGGCAGCCTCCACGTGTACCCAGAGCGCTCCTGCCAGCCCTTTCCCCTCCACCTTACCCCCAGCGTGGTGGATTATACAGAACTCGACCATCCTGTTTCTTCACTTGCTGAGTATTCACTTGGGGCTCTTACGTGCCCTTTAGTTGCAGGCACAGGATGAGCAAAACCGAGCAGAGTCCCTGCTAACCAAGAGCTTAGACATCAATTGATAGAAAAATCGATATGAAATCACCACTGTGACAAGTGCTTCACTGATTCAAAATCCTGTTCTGGATAATTAGCCTTGTGTAAAATGGTCTGGGAAGGCTTCCTGACGGGGAGACTACTTGGCTGGGAGCAGAGGTGTAAATGAGACTGGATCTCCGGCAGTCTCTGCCTGTGCGAAGGGAGCTGGAAATAGCTGGTAAGTTTGATAGATGAAAGATGGTCTGGTGGTCAGAGGGTGGAGTTTGGGGAACAATGAAGTGGATGTGAAACTGAGCAGGGTTTTGATATGATAATGTTAAGGGTGATCTGGTCTGGAAATATTTTAAACAGAGTCTGGGGTGGGGGCTAGGGAAGGGTCCCTGATCATATTGGCGTGTTGAGATCTGTCCGGCTGCCACGTGGAGAGCAGTCTTGGGTGACGGTGCTGACAGTGATGCTGACACCTTCTGCTGTGTCAGCAGGACCTGGCGGGCAGCTCAGATCCACCTCCGGACCCCTTCCTCACTCCTCAGTTTCCTTCTGATGGCGCAACCCTCCTTGAGGTTTTCCTTTTTTTTGAAAGTCTTTTTGATGTGAACTGTTTTTAAATTGAATTTGTTACAACATTGCCTCTGTTTTATGTTTTGGGTTTTTGGCTGCGAGGCATGTGGGATCCTAGGGGCTTCCCTGGAGGCTCAGGTGGTAAAGAATCTATTACAATGCGGTAGATGGGGGTTCGATCCCTGTGCTGGGAAGATCCCCTGGAGAAGGGAATGGCAACCTATTCCAATATTCTTGCCTGGAGAATCCTATGGACAGAGGATCCTGGTGGGCTACAGTCCATGGGGTTGCAAAGAGTCGGACATGACTGAACAAGTAACACTTTCTTTCATGTGGGATCTTAGCTCTCCAACCAGGAATCAAGCCCACACTCCCTGCATTGGAGGGCAAAGTCTCAACCACTGGAACAATAGGCAAGTCCCCCACCTTGATATGCTTTGACGTCCATTTTCACCTTTGGATCTGCCTTACCAGGGCCCTTCCCTTCTACCCTCTCTACTTTATTTACCTTGCTCCATTCTGCTTTTTTTCCTCTTTATTTATTTATCATTATTATTATTTTTTATTTGGCTATGTCTTGGTTGCGTCATGTGGGGTCAAGTTGACCAGGGATCGAACCTGAGCCCCTTGGCATTGGGTGGACCCCTGCATTGGGTGGACCGAGTCTTAACCACTGGACTGCCAGGGAAATCCCTCTCTTCTGCTTTTAATTGTCTGCTTTTCTATTCATTTCCAATGTTAAGTAACAGTTGATGGGAGCAGGTTAGGGGTCTACAGGTACAGGAGGGAAGCTGGAGAAGAGGTCAGTAGAAGACTAGAGGGTTCGGTTTGGGCAGACTCGCTGTGCCCCCCATGGTTGGGAGACACCAGCTGCTACCCTAGGGGGCTGAGAAGAAATCATTGTAGAAGAACAGTACTCATGTCCAGGATCTATCCGTGGAGGACTGGAAGGGGCCGGGCAGCTGGCCCACGTGTACCTGTGTTTTGCAGATGTTAGTGGGTTGGCAGTTCAAGCGTGAGTTGGAAAAGAGTTTCCAGACACAGGGCATTTCAGAAGGGAGTGAGTTTATTAAGAACCAAGAGCAGAGATAATGTGGGCACCGCGAGTACAGTGAGCTGGCTTCCTGATAGACCAGGGAGAGTCAACAGTTTTTGTGGGTTAGCAGTCAATTTTTACAGTCTCAAGACAGAAAATTCCTGCTGAAAGGTTGGTGTTAGGTGAGTAGTAGGGCACTACCGCTGAGCACTGGGTGGGTATTTTTGCCTAATGTGGGGTCAGGGAGCTGGCTGGTGATGATCAAGGGGGTTTTGGGCAATGGTTACAAAGGGGTTCAATCAGTTTTGGAGGTGACCTTGGTTCTGGCTCCACTTCTGTGGCCTTGGGGCAGGACTCCACAGTTAGGACAGAATGAGTGGAAGGGGAACTTCTCAATCCTGAGGGGCAGCCAGTCATTTACATGGAGATGCTTGGTGGAGCGGGGTTTGCAGAGCAGGAGGGGGGCAGGGCTAGAGCCCTGGATTTGGAGTTGAAGGCTGTAGATGTGACAAGCATCTAACAAGTGGGTCAACTCCTGCAGGGGAGGACTCGGTGTTGGGTGATCCCCGGAGCTGGTCACTGCAGCCACCGAGGTAGGTGGGGACACTGATGATTCGTCCCATGGCTCTGCCCGTGGTTTGGTTCTTTGTTCTACAAACTGAAAGAGCAAAGGGGAAGGTGAGGTTTTGCATCGAGATGGGGAGTGTTTGTTGCCAATTTTCTCATGTTTGTCGTGTGTGGGGCAGGTTATACACACCACAGCTGATAGGATGCAGGTGAGGGAGCAGTGAGAATTCAGGGCCTCAGGTCACCCAAAATAGAGCTTCTGAGTCACAGGGCAGAGCTGGAGGGGAGTCAGTTTGTGGTGGTAGCAAAGATCACTGGCAATGATGTCAGAGGAGTCTAGTGATTAGGGTTCAGTGCCACCTGTTTAGCTTAAAAACAAAGTTCAAATGGGAAATCTCCGTTTGGCCCAGGTCCCTTCCTCGCCCTTGCTTCCCTGCACAGTAAGGTCTGGACCCTCATGCATTCTTATTCCCACCTGCAGTCTGCAGGGAATTTAAAGACTGTTTTGGAGTGAGCAGGGTTTTGGAGTGAATAACCTTCCTGGTGCCAGGCAGTGATGGGACCAGGGTTTCAGATGCTTTGCTTAATCCTGTTGGAGTGGCCTGGACTGAGATGCTGGCAGGGCAAGCCTGGGTCTCACCCGCTGCCCTCCCACATTCAGCCCCTCAGGCTGTGTCCGATCTGCTCACATGGACCAGAGTCTGAACAGGGAAGGATGCTGTTAACCATAGTGTGGAGTATGCCCATGTGTCTAGTCTTTCTTTCCTCGCAGCGTAGATTTGGCCTTTTCTTTTCTTTTGTGCTTCTTCCTAAGATGAGATTCAGGGCTCGTGGAAAGACCCAAGTTGGCACAGAGGCTGTGGCTTCCCTGGGGAATAATTTCTGACTTTCCTTCCTCAGGCCTCCCCGCCCCCTTTTTTTAAAATCCCGTATCAGAGGGATCCTCGGATCAGAGAAGTGTGCCCACGGGTAAGGGAGAAGACCCACTCTGAGTTATTTAGGATCTTACTTTATCTCTTTTTATCATGCCCAGAGGCAAAACAAAGAAGAGTGATCATGTTTATCCCCATCTGGGATTAGTCTAGTTAATTTTGACCTTCTCTTATTTCTGCCTCTTTGAAGCCTGGGGGCCCCCCTTGACTCTACCTCGCAGGCATCTGGGTCCCTGTCTCCCATCCTCTCCAATGGACCTGGCCCTGTGGTGGGCACATCCCCTGCAGGGCATTCTGGGTACTTCAGTGAGTGGTGGGCAGGGAGGTTCCTCCCCAGAAATCTTTCATACAGTAATTAGATTCCTGTAGACCCTTCCTTGCAACTTGACCTTGTAAGATTGGAAAGGGGGGCGCCTACAGTTCCCGAAGGTGATAGGGACACGTAGTCTTTACTGATGGTGGCAGGCATGGCTGGGAAGAAACCAAGGGTGTGGGCTGCCAGGGGGGTCCGTTTGCCATAAACTCTGAGTGAGATCAGAGAGGAAAGAGTGGGAAGAGGGAAACTTCAGGGTGGGAAGAACTGAGTTTATGTCCCAGCAACATCTCTGTGCTCACAAGTCCCGAGATGTTGCTGGTCTTGATTTCTTCACTGTTAAAACCTAAGAGGGTGCTTCCTTGCTGGTCCAGTGGTTGAGAGTCTGCCTCTTAATGAGGGGGACATGGGTTCAATCCCTGGTCCAGGAAGATCCCATGTGCCTCGGAGCAACTAAGCCTGAGAGCTGCATCTACCGAGTCCACATGCTACAACTACCAAGCCCGTGTGCCCAGAGCCTGTGTTCTGCAGCAAGAGAAGCCACTGCAATGAGAAGCAAACGCACTGCAATGAAGAGCAGTCCCTGCTTGCAGAGGTGAATACCCATCCAAAAAGATAAAGAAAAAAACACACACACACACACAAGAGAAATCTCAAAGACTCTTGGTTGCTATGCAAGTTCTACTTTGAATTATTGCTACATACATGGGAAAGTCTAGGAAAACTCTGGCCACCACTTTGCTTTTCCTGGTGATAGGAAAATCAATCTAAATGACAGAAAGATTCTTGAGTTCTTCAGGAGCAGAACACACTCCGTGTTGAGTGATTCTGCCTGAGTTCCTGTGAGCTAGACTGGTCTCGGTTCCCTCCCTGGGGAAGACCAGTTAGGAGTTGTCATTTCAGTTAAAACCAGTGTCAGAATGCATCTGGTGAGGGAAGAGTACAATGCTGTGAAAAGTGTGATGGAAATAATTTTACTTTCCTCTAAGATTTTCTTGGTTTTCTTGCGAGTCACATAATAGTGACTGCTTCCTGAATGCTTAAGTGTCATCTTAAGGGCTTTACATGGATTGTCTCATTTGGTTCTTAAAACCAATTGCTGTGGTGCTGTAAATCAGTCTTGGGTCTGCTTGCCCAGCACATAACCAAGCCAGGCTGCTGACGCCAGGCTGTGGTGAAGGAAAAGACAGCATTTATTGCAGGTGCTGAACAAGGCAAACAGGCAGCTAATGCTCAAAAGACCCAAACTCCCTGATGGCTAAAAGGCAGTGTGAAGTGGGGAGGTCGCAGAGTACATGAGCAGCTCATGGATATTCTTCTGATTGGTAAGAAAACAGTGGTATTTCAGGAATCAATATTATCAACCTTTTGGTTCCAACTGGTCTGCGGTCTCTGTGCTTGTGGGCAGCAAGCAGCTAACTTCTTTCACCTGGTGCGGGTTTTGAAATCTGCAGAACAACTCAAGAATTTGGCTCAGAACATTATCTGGAAGACTCTTGAGAGTCCCTTGGACTGCAAGGAGATCCAACCAGTCAATCCTAAAGGAAATCAACCCTGAATATTCATTGGAAGGACGGTTGTTGAAGCTGAAGTTACCATACTCTGGCCACCTGATGTGAAGAGCCTACTCATTGGAAAAGACCCTGATGCTGGGAAAGATTAAGGACAGGAGGAGAAGGGGGCAACAGAGGATGAGATGGTTGGATGGCATCACCAATTCAATGGACATGAATTTGAGCACACTCGAGAAGACAGTGAAAGACAGGGAAGCCTGGCATGTTGCAGTTCATGGGGTGGCAAAGAGTCAGACATGACTTGGTGACCGAACAACAACAACAAATTATCTATAGCCCTGGAGGAGGTGGTAAGGGTCCTTGACTTTGTTTTATGGCTAAACTATTAGTATTTTGTCTTGTTTGACTGCTTTCCTTTGTGTGTGTGTGTTTTCACTTCTCTGGTTAAATCTGTTCTTTGGGACTTGGGCAAGGCCTAGGAGGCTAAAGCTTTACTACAAACAAGAGGAGGGGATGAGGGAGGGGAGGACCTGTACCTGGGGAGACCCTGCAGCATCCTTCTGGGTTTAAGTCCCAGTGACCCGCCCTGGTTTACAGTGAGAGGAGTGCTCAAGGAGTTTACTTGCTCCGGAGTCCACAGTCTTATGCTCTGGAACCACATGCTCACCTGCGGGAGGTTTTTTTTTTTTTCTTTTTCATTTATTTTTATTAGTTGGAGGCTAATTACTTTACAATATTGTAGTGGGTTTTGTCATACATTGACATGAATCAGCCATGGATTTACATGTATTACCCATCCCAATCCCCACCCCCCCACCTCAATGAGATGGATGAAACTGGAGCCTATTACACAGAGTGAAGTAAGCCAGAAAGATAAGGAACATTACAGCATACTAGCACATATATATGGAATTTAGAAAGATGGTGATGATAACCCTGCGGGAGTTTTAAACCCGACACTAGCTGCTGTGAAACTCTATGAGGCTGTGAATGCCTTCCTCGAGTGTTCTCATTGAGGGATCCCACTCTCCAACATCCTTCTGTGTATTTTTCCTCTCTGTGTCTCCCCCATGGATCTCTTCTCATCTTTGGAAGAGACCTGCCTCAGTGACGGGTGTGTCCTAAGGATGCTGGGGGAGTGTGGTGGACCATGATCATGGCAAGCTGGGGTCTCCACTCGCTGTGCGAACAGACACTTCCTTGCACTTCCCTCTTTGAGCCTTGAAATCTCCTCAGAGGTGGAAATCATATGTCTTCCCCATTTCAATGGGAGGAAAATTCCCACTTCGTAGTGAGGCTGAAGACCTTGCCTGAAGTAACAGAACTGGGTTAGTGGTGTCTCTCTGAACAGGCTGGGGTCAGATACTTCAGGGAATGTTCCCTCTAGAGGAGGGGCATTGCTCCCCCTCATCCCCAATCTTGCTGGGATTTCCATGGACTATGGAGTTGGGAGCGAGGGGGTGTGGAAAGGAGGGCATGGACGTGGCTTCCTGTCCACTGGCAGCTCCTGATCTACGGGGAGCCCTGGTGTTGGGGCCAGTAAAACACGGAGTCTGAGCCATTGGATGGTCCCGACTAGTACACAGTGTACAGCTGACATCTGTAGAGTTATCCCTTCCCCACTCGCAAAACTGGTTGTCTTTCAGCCTGTGGATCTGGCAGCGAAATCATAGAGGGTCCCAAGAACGTCACGGCCCTGAAGGGCTCGGAGGCTCGCTTCAACTGCACCATTTCCCAGGGCTGGAAGCTCATCATGTGGGCTCTGAGGGGCACGGTGGTGCTGAGCATGACGCCTAATGGGTCCATCATCACCAGTGACCGCTTCACCTCTGCGAGCTACCAAGAGGGCGGGAACTTCATCTCCGAGATGATAATTCACGACGTGCAACTCAGCGATGCCGGGCAAGTCAAATGCAGCCTCCAGAACAGCGACCGGGATGGAGCCGCCTTCCTTTCCATTCAAGGTGTGTATGCAGGCAACTCTGATGAGGAGCACTTAGAGTCCTCTGGGTAAAACATCAGGTTGCAAAGAACCTTCTGAAGTTCTTGTCATGTGGGGACATCTAGAGTCAGTCTTCTCTCGGGACTATGCTTGGAATTATTCTGAACTGATGGATATTTTGCTGTCTATTTATCACCTCCCTCTCTCTCTCCCTTCTTCCCTGCCTTCCTTCTTCCATGAGTGGACTTGCCTTTGGTTGACTTTATGCTTAGAATTTTTCTGAACTGACTAGTGTTTGCTGTTTTGTCGTGTGTTTATTTCTCTCCTCCCTTCCTCAATCTTTCTACTTTCTTTCTTCCTGCTTCTCTTCCTCTCCCCTTCCATCTTTCCATTCCTTTATTTTCCATTTTCTCTTATTAAGGCTATGAAAGACAGTTTTTTAAAATCACTTTCCCATCTGACCAATTTCAGTATGAACAGTTTTTCTGGACGTATATCCTGGAATTCTAAGGCCAGTTGTGGCCGTTCGTCTTTGACTTAGAGAGACAGTTGTCAATCATTGCCCTTTTTCTAGTTTTTCATATCCTGCTTTGTTTCTTTGCCTGACATCATTTATCGGCTTTGAATCATGCTTTAACTTTTTCCTCTTTCTGGCTGAATTTTCCTAATCTCTTTCCTGCCCTTAGTGATTCTTACAAAGGTGCATGTTCACTCAACCCTACCATGTCTTTTAGAGAAAATAAAACAGTAACAAAATTTATAATAATGGACAACTTATTTTTCCTTTTATCATTCATTTTCATTATAGGGAAGTTGTGGCATCAAAGGTAATTTTGAGGTGCTGAAGATTATGCTACATAGTGAACAAAATAAAAGGATACTTTACAGGGATTCAGAATATCTTTATCAGAGTTTACTCATTTTGCATTCCTTGAAAATGTAACTATGTAATATTTATAGATGTATTGGAGCTTTTAGAGTTCCTGATTTCTATGGCAGCATCTCTTTTAACAGACTACATTGTGGCTTTGAAATTTTTTCAAATTTGTTAGTTTAGGAAAAATTTCCAATGATCTGGTCTATATTTGCACTGCTATCAAATCAAATTGGATAATGTTTGGTGGAGATACAGGTCTACCTATTTCGACTTGCTTATTTTTAAATTTAGCCAAATTGTTTTATCGTTATTTTTATGTGTCTTTGATTTTGTGTGGTTTAATTAAGGGTACAATGATATTCTCTAAAGAAGTGATCGTGTGAGGCTACCTGGATTATTGGCTTAGTTTGCACGATGAAATTGTTATTCTAATAATTTGTGGTATAAAAGAAAGAACACAGGACAAGGAATCAAAGATACGAGTTCTGGTTTTGCTTCCCTCCCACCTTGGTGACACCTGAAATGGCTCGATTTCTTTATATTTAAAGTGGGGATAAGGCTCCCCCGCTCACATCACAGGTTTACTATGAAGATCAGATGAAAAACTGACTGAGGGTGGTTTGAAGACTACCATGCTCTGTCTGTTTCAGTTTACTGCATATGAAGCTGGGGGCCAGAGAGGCCTGGGGTTAACAGCAGAGGCGTGGGAGCCTGGCTACCAGGTCAAATTCCAGTTTTATCACTAACTGTGTGACCTTGAACATATTACTTAGTGACCTTGTGCCTTAGTTTCCTCATCACAGGGCAGCTGTGAGATCAGAAGAGTAGGTCTATATAAAAGCCTTTAGGACAGCACCTGATTCATAGCAATCTCCATGTAGTCATTTGCTATCATGTATTGTGTTCCCAATAGGAGCACGCCATTGCATTAGGCATTTAAGGAAGACTCAAAGGCAAGTGCAATAAGCCACAATCCTGTCCTCAAGAAGAGTGGATAGGGTCTTCCCTGGTGGTCCAGTGGTTAAGAATCCACCTTGTGAAGGAGAGGACTGGGGTTCACTCCCTGGTTAAGGAACTAAAATCCCACATGCCATGGAGCAACTAAGCCTGCCTGCAACAACTACAGAATCTGTGTGCCACATGACAGATCCTGCAGGCTGCAACAAAGATCCTTTGTGCGGCAACTAAGACCCAACACAGCCAAATAAATATTTACAAAAAAGAGTTGATGCCGAAGCTGAAGCCCCAATACTTTGGCCACCTGATACGAAGAGCCGACTCATTAGAAAAGACCCTGATGGTGGGAAAGATTGAAGGCAGGAGGAGAAGGGGGTTGGCAGAGGATGAGACGGTTGGATGGCATCACTGACTCAATGGACATGAGTCTGAGCAAGCTCCAGGAGATGGTGAAGGACAGAAACGCCTGGCATGCTGCAGTCCATGGGGTCACAAAGAGTCAGACATGACAGAGTGACTGAACAATAACAATAACAACAACAAAGTGGATAATGCAAGGGCATAAACAGCAGTGGTGCAATGTAGATGCTGGCCAGTGCAATGAGAGGGGGGCAAGGTCAGCTTCAAATTGTGAAGGGAGATGAGGGACTCATGAAGTATTCTAGGTTGGCTCCAGGGAGCAGGTGCCATATGAGATGTGCTTTGAAGGTCTGTAGAAAACAGACAAAATGGAGAAATACCTCTGGATCAAGGAAACAGGGTCAAAGGCATGACTTACTGTTGCTATGCTTATGGCATATCAGATTCTTAAGTCCATGTGGTTTTATAGCATCTTGCCTGAAGCTATGCATCTATAAAGTTGCCTGAATACTGTAAACAAGCATTTTTTAAAAAAAAATATTGATAGTTACTGTAGCCTTTGGTTTTTAACACAGATGGAAGAACAAGCATCTAGAGAAGTTACAGTCTTCCCCAAGGTCGTGTGGAAGGAACCTACAGATTGAAACAGAACTCCATCCATTTACCCTGGTTGTATTGGTCTGAATGGCACTTCATTCAGGTCACTTCAGAAGACTGTTTTTTTCCCTTCTTGTGTATCCACAAGAAAAATAAAGAGAGCTCACATAACTGCATGTTGAGTCATCCAAAATCTATGAGGATGTTCTACCTATCACCTTGTGAAAAGTGTTTTTCACACCACTGGATGACCTTTGTGAAAGCCAGTGAGTGGAAAGAAGTGGATCACATATACATACCGGAAAAGAAAATGCTTCAAATTGAGTTTGTCTATTTACTGCCCAATCCACCAATTAATCACACACTGAAATCTAGACCTCAGGTGTTTTGAGGGCCACTAAGACTGGAGTACAAGATCACTAAAGCAGTGATATTCCTCTCCAGTTCCTGTCTTCTTAAACATCTCCATCATGAAACAATGAATGAAATGAAAAGAATAAGCACAAAGTCCTGCAGCCTGCAGAGGGACAAATCCGTTCCTCTCTCATTATATTTACAGTAATCCTTGAGATAGCTAATGTGCTTCACTTACTCTAAGACACTATTCAAGAAAGAAATAATGGTAAATCTAACATTTCAGAGTAAGAAGGGCTTTCAGAGCTGAATCCATTCAGTCAAGTCTGGAAACTCCCCAGGGTCTTCCTAGGATCTTTCAGGGTGGTTTATGAGAATACCTGTTTCCATAGTCATATTAAGATGTTATTGCCTTTCTCACGCATCGTCATGAATATACATGGAGCTTCCCACTGTACACTGGGAAGGTCTGCATAATTTAGTGGACTGGTATTTTCCAAGTGACTGATGTATGATACAAAATCATGCAAGGATAAATGATTCATTCAAAGTGCCAGCTAGAGCAACGAATTCTAATGTAACAGAATGAAAGTTTATTTGTGTGGTTTCAGTTTACAGTGTGTGTGAAAGTCGCTCAGTTGTGTACGACGTTTTGCAACCCCATGGACTGTAGCCAGCCAGGTTCCTCTGTCCATGGAATTCTCCAGGTCAGAATACTAGAAGTGGGTAGCTGTTCCCTTCTCCAGGGGATCTTCCCAACCCAGGGACTGAACCCAGCTCTCCTGCATTGCAGGCAGATTCTTTACCATCTGAGCCACCAGGGAAGCCCTCCACAATGTAACTAAACTTTAAGAAAACACTACTTGTCAAGTTTTGGTGTAGTATTAAAGAATAACCATGATGATCTGAAAAGCCTCCTTACCACTCTAAACATACATCTGCATGAAGTTAGATTTTCATATTTTCTTTATGTACTCCAAAGAAAACAATATATGGCAACAGATTGAAGGCAGCCACATGATGTTAAAGAGATTTGCATAAATAGAAAACAATGTCATTTTTCTTACTAATTTATTGTGGGTTAAAAATATATTTTTCATAAAAATATGTTAATCCATATTAACCAGCAAAAGTGTTAGTTGCTCAGTTGTGTCCAACTCTTTGTGATCCCTTGGACTGTAGTCCACTAGGCTCCTCTGTCCATGGAATTCTCCAGGCAAGAATACGAGAGTGGTTAGCCATTCCCTTCTCCAGGGGATCTTCCTGACCCAGTGATCAAGCCCGGGGCCTTCTGCATTGCAGGCAGATTCTTTAACTTCTGAGCCATCTGGAAGTAACGGGTTACTAATGTTATTTTAAAATATGTGTTTGAAAATAAGCAAATATTTAATTCTAATTTCACATATGGGAAATATAGATAGACCCCACCTAAACCAAAGGTCTTTGGCATCCTCAGTGGTTTTTAAGAGTAAGAAAGGTATTAAAACCAAAATGTTTGGGAACCACTGATCTAAGTTAAAGCCTCTTGCTCACCAGGTAGTAAAAAGAGAACCTGAGAATTTCAGTGATCTGCCCAAGGTGATGAAAATTTTGTGGGAAAGCCAGGATCCAGAACAGATTCTTTGATTCTTAGTCCAGTGTTTTTTCCATTATAAAATGTGAGAGGGAGATTTAGGAAATTTTAATTTGAATGTTTCAATGTCTATGTAATTCACTACGGCTGTGTCTTTTCCGGGGCCATTCCTCAGGTTATTTTAGTAATAATAGCACATACAAGTGCTATTTTCAGATGGTTTATTTACAGTGTGAGCCCTGGCACATGCAAGGGAGTCTTTACTAAAAACTTTAAAATAATTGATCTAAGATATTCTGATACAGGATTTAAGGTAGTAATTTCTATAATTAGATTAGATTTGTATCTAATTTGTACCTAGAAACATATTTTAAGGCAATATCATAGGAAATAATATTTTAAAATCTGTTGTCCCAAAATAAAGAAAAATGAATCTAATTGATCAAAGAAAGGCCAGGAGAGACTAGGTTCCATCATGAAACTCTGAGATGTGTTCTCTCTACAATGAAAAGAATGTAAAGGTTCTTTTCCTTTTTGCATTGGTTCTTAGGGCAGCCCAGGACAAGTTTGCAACTCCATTGCAGTGATCCTGTAGCCCTCGGTGGTGGGTGCATTCATCCCATCTTTCCCATGTAATTTATATTTCCCTGGATTCTGATTTTTTTTTTAAAAGAAAATGCTAATTGTTTATTACCTGTGAAATTTAGTAAGGATATTTTCAAAAGGTAGTAACAGTCAATCAGAGGAGATTGCTTTAAGACAATTAAAAAACCCTTAAGTGAAAAAATGAAAAAACATGGAAAGATGAGAACTACAGATTTGTTATAATTAACAACAAAATAAATGATCAGTTAACATGAAAGACAAACCCCTAAAATTTTCCAAGAATATGGTGAAAGAATACAATTAAACAGAGATATAAATAGATAACCACTTGAAGAATGAATCCCAGGGTTTCTATATGCATATAACAGAGATTCTAGATACATGGAATAGAACAGAAAGAGGAAACGCAATCAAAACTAATAGAAGAAAATTGTGTGTTGAAAGAGAACACAGTGTTTGAATTAAGTATGCTTCTCAAGTCCCTGGATCCTGATTTTTTATTTATTCATTTTCTCTGGAATCTATATTTTCTGGTGAGCCACCTCCCCTTCTTCTGTGAACGTGACAGGTGTAAACTAAATACACAGATCAAACCTGACTTATGGTTTCCGGATACAGACACAGTCAGTTTGGGCTGGGGAAGGCAGTGCTCATGCAATGTGATCTGGAGGACAGTTTTTGGAAAAATCTGGCCCTGAGAGGCATGATCATCCCCTCGAGCATTTCTCTTCTCTCCTTTAGTCATGGGGCAGTTGCTCATTCCTGGAGGCAGCCTTGTAGTCACTGAGGACAATCCTTGTAACGTAACTTGCCGTGCGCTGAACTGGACCCCGCTCCCAGATCTTTCCTGGGAGATAGGGGTTCCCGTGAGCCATTCGAGCTATTATTCCATCCCGGAGCCTGAGGGCCTTCAAAGTGTAGAGAGCATCCTTGCTCTGACGCCGCAGGGGAACGGCACTGTGACTTGTGTGGCTGAGATGAAGGGGCTGGACGTCCGTGAGTCTGTAACTGTCCGTCTCACTGTGGTTCAGCCTCCCTTGGGTAAGTGAAGACTTTTTGCTTCATATAAAGTGTATTATTATTACATGCTTTACATTTTACATGCTGTGCTTCTTAATCAACGATGCCCAGGAAAATCGTATGGTGACCTTGATCTCAGGAAGGGGTGGTGATGGAGGCAAAGGACTTGTGTCAGCTTCTTGACCCTATTATTTCACATTTAAATTCCCTCTTCAAGTGTTTCTCTCTTTTCTACTTACATATGGAAATCACTGAGAACCTTGACAGCTACTTAGAGAATAGCATTAAGTTTTCAGATATAAAGTCTTGAACTCAGTGCTTTTCTCTAGCTCTCACCCGTTGTTCCTGTCTGATCCCATCCCCTGTGCCAACAGGAAAGGAATTCTTCTAATTTTTGAGGAGGGTATGCATATTCTCAGGGATTCCTTCCAATCTTAATGGAATTAGGAGGGATCATTTTTTCACACAACAAATCCACAGTATGTCTGAAAGTACCAGGTCTATGCATTGTTAAAAAATGTACAAAATGACAGAAGTTTAAAATCTAGTTCCAAAGAGAATCTGCTGTAGGGTCTTTTCTGTTCAGTCACTACGTCATGTCAGGCTCTTTGCAACCCCGTGACCCCATGGACGGCAGCACGCCAGGCTTCCCTGTCCTTCACTATCTCCTGGAGTTTGCTCAAGTACATGTCCATTGTGTTGATGACGCGATCATCAACAGGGCCCTTGGCAAATGCCAGACTCTGATCACATATCTTCACGGGGCCCCTCTGAGCCTGCTTGAGCTCAGAAAACACAGGGGTGGGGGCTGGAGGTTTGCTTTCACACCTACATTCTAGAAAAGTGAAAGCAAAGTAGGCCCAGAGAAGGATTGCACTCTGTTCCAGGTCGTATGCTGATGGTGCCGAGGGATCCCGAAGCCAGGACGAGTTCTCCCATGGTCCATAACTCTTCCTGCTATGAAACATCTTCACTTAAGATCTTCCAAAGTTTGGAACAAAGTTACAGCCATAGCAAGATTAATAATAACAATAATACAAATAAAAAACAGCACTACATATCACTTATTAAGTAAAGACTATTTTTTTCCAGCTCCGTGTTTCCTTTATTATTTTTAAAAAATTTTTATTGGTGTATACTGATTTAAAATGTTGTGTTAGTCTCTGCTGTACAGTTAAGTGAATCAGCTATATGAACACATAAAAAACAATGTATCTCCTCTTTAAATACACTCGTTTAGTTCAGTTCAGTTCAGTCGCTCAGTTGTGTCCGACACTCATTTAAGTGGTTCTCAAATACTAACCAGATTAACCTGTGCAGCTTTCTCATGAGTGGATGCTGTTATATTCCTGTTGTAAAGCTGAGACAACAGGGGAGCATTGTTTGGAACGTGTCCGTCTTTATAGTAGATGGCAGAGATGGCCTTGCCAGTGTGTGTCGAATCTGCTTACCTGTCCTCTCTGCTCTCCAGTCCCCTCTGCCCTCCCTCTGTGAGCAGCCCTGGAAGGTGTGTGAGTGTCCTGGGTCTGTGTAACCTCAGACTGGGTGCTTAAACAACAGGCATGGTTTCTCTCAAAGCTCTGGAGGCTGGGCATCTGAGATCAAGGTGTGGGCAGGGTTGGCTTCTTCTGAGGACCAGTCTGTTCCAGACCTCTTCCCCGGCTGTGACTGAATCCAAGCTCACTCTGCTCACCGCACAACAGCTGAATAAATCCAAGAGATGTGATATTGAGGCAAGGGATATGACTTTCTTCAGAAAATCAGTTGACTGAGAAGGTGGCAGACTAATGCCTCAACATAACCATCTTACTGGGGTCTGGATGCCAGGTTGTTTTATAGAACAGAGATGGGGGGAGGTGAGGAAACAAAGTAAAGAGGCCATTAATCTTGCAAATATCTCCTAGAATGGCAATCCTCAGGCAGGGATGTGTTTATTTCTTTCATCCTGCCACCCACAGGTGGACAGGGGCCTGAACAAGGGCATTTTGGTTTAATAGTCAGGTAGAGGGGCAGGGGTTTCTGAGGCAGGCCACTTTGTATGGGCAGTGTCCTTTCAGTGAACAAAAGCAGCAGGAAGCAAAGGTTAAAGAAACAGATCCAAATGGAGCTGTAATTGGCTCTTCCCTGTAACACAACTTCTGGTGGTTTTCTGGCCATCTGTGGTGTCCTTTGGCTTATGGACACTGCATCACACTGATCTCTGCCTTCGTCTTCACATGATGTTCTCCCTGTATGTGTGGCTGGGTCTAAAGTCCACTCCTTTCCTTTTTAAAAATAAATAAAGACACCAGTCATATCGGATCAGAGGCCACTCTATCCAGTACGACCTCATCTTAACTAAATTCCAACTTCAACAACACTGTTTCCAAACAAGGTCACATTTTGAGGTTCTAGAAGATAGGACTTTGACAAATGAATTTTGCATGTGTGCATGCTAAGTCATTGCAGTCCTTTTCAACTCTTTGCAACCCTTTGAACTGTAGCTCTCTTCTCTGTCCATGGGATTCTCCAGGCGAAAATACTGTAGTGGGTTGTCATGCCCTCCTCCAGGGGATCTTCCAGACCCAGGGACTGAAACCAGGTGTCTTATGTCTCCTGAATTGGCAGGGGGTCCTATACCCCTAGTGCCACCTGGGAAGCTTGGGGAGACACAATTCACTGCACAACAGATGATGTCTCTGTGAACCTGTAAAAAGCCATATAGAGCCTAAGCGGTGTTTAGATCTTGCTATCCTGAACTTTACACTGCAGGGAATAATCCCTAATGTAGTACCAGCACAAGCCCGTGCTCTTGATGTTTGGCCCTTGTCTCCAACTCAGACATCCCCAGAGACCAGGCAGACAACAAAAATGAAAGCATGGGTGAATACATGCGTCAGGTAGGAGGCAGATTGTAGGGGCTTATTAGGAATCAGAGAGCATGCCCCATCCACGCAGAGCAGGTGGACCAGCTCCAACTGGTGGTTGCCAACAGAAATGGGAGCTCGGACCTGCCAGAGCTTTGACCTGCTTCTGTGAATATCTGTCTTTTTGATGGTAAAGATCACAGAAATCTGTGTTTTTTGGTTTTAAGTCAGGGTTAACTTATTTCAGCTTATGAGATTCCAAAGAATTTAGCTTATTTCCTACTAAGACTGTATATGAAAAGGAAGCTAGAATTCAAACCTAACTTGCTTTTCTTACTAGTTTGGACAATTAAAAACCTTTAGAAAAGTCGCAAGAATAGTACAAGGAGTACCAATGTATCTTCACTTAGACACAGCAGATGTGAACAGCTTCTCACATTTGCTTCTCTCTCTCAGCTTTTCTTTCCCTCCCTCCCCCCTTGTCTTCCCCCTCCCTGTCTTCTGTCCATCCTTCCCATGCTCTTTTTACAATATTTTTTTCACTTTCTTTCCTTCCTTCCTTCCCTTCTTTCCCATTTAAGATTTGCTTGGAGGTTTATGACACTTTACCCCTAAATACCCCAGTATATGTATCCTAAGAACAAGGCCATTTTAATTAACCCCAATGTTCTTGGAAGTCAGGAGCTTTAACATTGATACAATACTATTATACAATATTTGGTTCATATTCAAATCTCTCCCATCATCCTTTCTAGATGTTTCTCCCCCCAAACCAGTATCCATCTAAAGACCATGTGTTACCTTTGGTTGTCATGTCTTCTTTGGTTTCCTTTAATATCCAGTGGTCCCCCCACCTTTTTTGTCTTTTCTGATAAAAAACATCTTTGAAGGATCCAGACCTTTATTGCAAGAAGCCCTTCAATAGGAATTTGTCTGAGTTTTCCCAACACACTTCATGAAGGTCAAATATTTTTGCCAAGATATGAGTAATGTCATTTGGCCATGTGATGCCAGTTTTCTTGATGACTGGTAATACGTTTGAGCATCTGATTAAAGCAATGTCTCCCAGATTTCTTTATTGTAAAGGTACATTTTAGCTTTTATAATTAATATATAATCTACAAATACTGTGTGAATATCTGTTTCTTGACAGTCTTTCACCAAATAATATTTGCGTTCATGGATAAGTCACTGCCCAAATTGCTTATTTCTTTGGTGGTTGTAAAAGAATGATTTTCTGTTTCCACAATTTTTCTATATTTTTTAGTTGTCATTTTTCTGTAACAGGTTTCCCAGGTGACACAGTGATAAAGAATCTGTCTGCCAGTGCAGGAGATATATGATACATGGGTTCCATCCCTGGGTTGGGAAGATCCCCTGCGGTAGGAAACGGCAACCCACTCCAGTATTCTTGCCTGGATAATCCCATGGACAGGGAGCCTGGCAGACTACCGTCCAGGGAGTCATAAAGAGTTGGACATGACTGAACAAATGAGCACACACATTCTTCTGCAAAGAAGAGACATTGCTGTCTCTTTCTTCCTTTTCTTTCTTTCTTCTTTTTTTTATAGTTTGGTGTGGACTCATTTTTATCCAATACATTGTAATTTACTCCCACCACTATCCATTTTGATATTCCAATTTTGGCCAGAGAAAATCCTTTTCAGCTGGCTCTAGTGTCCTTCTGACATGTCCCTCTTAGTTTCTGAGCACTTGTCTCATTAAGATGTTCCAAATTTTCTTTGCATTTCCCCTGTTCCGGCCTAGAATTGCCTATTTCTCCAAGGAGCCAACCCAGCTTGCTTTCAGGCAATTTAAATGTGACAAAGTATGGTCCAGGGTTTGAAAGGGAAGATTGAAAAAAAAAGTTCTATTAGCACCAAATGGAATGAAACTGTTCAAACCACACACTTTGTTAAGGCAATATAGCAACAAAGAGCTCTGGTCTGACTGATGATGCCTTGTAGAAATGGTTCTGGAGATGAGCTTGTCTGCAAAGTTTGTCTTTTGTAGGGAAAGGGCAAGGGGCATTCAATTTCCCTTGATGGGCTTTAATTCGGCTGAATTCTTCTTAGCCCGGGACCAGTGAAGTGAGCAGGCTTAATTACGGCATCTGGAGTTCCAACAGCTTCACAGAGGAGAGCGTGATGGGTATGTTGCAATGAGTCCCATTTT